CCCAGGCGGGTCTCGAACCCGCAGGCTCAGGCAATCCATTCACCTCAGCCTCCCAAGGCACGGGATTACAGGCTGAGCCACCGAGCCCGGCTTCCATCTTCTAGTATCCCCTAACTCTTCTAACTCCCCGGCAATGTGGTGCCTAACTTAATGGCACCTCCTTGGACAATGAACTAGAACCAGAGGGCGGGAACAACATTCACATTCTCTCAGTCATTGAAACCTGAAGAACTTTCAGCAATGACTGGCACATAGTAGAGGTCTCAGTAAAAGATGGTGATGCCTCCATGAATTAATGACATGAAAACCTTGATGTGGTTGGTTGGGGCGGCTCACGCCTGTAATCCTACCAGGCTAGAGGATTGCCTGAGTCCAGCCTGGGCAACTTGGCGAGACCTCATCTCTCAATAAATAATTTCTTTTTTAAATTAGGTGGGTGTGGTGGTGGGTGCCTGTGGTTCCAGGTACTTGGAAGGCTGAGGCGGAAGGATCGCTTGAGCCCAGAGGGTCGAGGCTGTGGTGGCCATGAGTGTGCCACTGCACTCCAGCCTGAGCAACAGAGTGAGACTCTGACTCAAAAAAGAAAAGGAAATTGTGACGTTGGCAGAGGAGAAGACGGGGTCACCTGTAGAAAAGACCAGACTTAGATCCAAGGAGGTGCAGACACTCATGGCCACACTTCTAGACACGCTGAAAAGCTTACGATGACGTGTATGTTGCAGTGCCCAGCCTCACAGTGAGCACGTGAAGGAAAAAAAGATACAAACGGCCAAGTCCACGCCTCCCTGTGGACGCCTAGATGTCTGATCTTGGTTTGCTGGCCTGCTGTGCCAAAGGCCGACCCCTCACCTGGGCTTGAGGTACACAATGGAATGTTCTCCTTTCTCCATGCGCTGAACGGCCTTTTCCAGCCCACAAGGCAGGTCCAGGTTTTCTCCCTCGCCAACCTCAAAACGGAGCTCCCGCCGGTCAAACAGCTGGTCCTTGTGGTACCCTTCCAGTGCAACTGGCATGAGAGGCAACACGGGGGGGCACGAGAAGTAGGTGACTGCGGAGGACACCACCAGCCTCTCTCTCTATCACCCGTCACTCTCGCCCCTTAGACACCCCTGTTGTGTTCTTAGACCTGAAGAGATGTGGAGAGAGCACGGCCCAACCCCTCATTTCATGGACAAGAAAACAGCTCAGAGACGAAAGTGATTTGCCCAAAGCCACCCAGATCAGAATTAAATGAAAACCCCAGCCGAGCTGGGAAACTCCAATTCCCACCTATGATCCCAGCACTTTGGGAGGCAGAGGCAAGAGGACTGTCTCAGGTGTTCCAGGCCAGCCTAGGCAACTTGGCAAGATCGTGTCTCCACAACAAATAAAAAGTCAGCCAAGTGTGGCACACGCCTGTAGTTCTGGCTACATGGAAGGGTGAGGTGGAAGGATCATGGCTGTGGTGACCGTGAGGATGCCACTGCACTCCAGCCTGGGTGACAGGGTGAGACTCTGACTCAAAAATTAACTAACGGCCGGGTTCGGTGACTCAGCCTGTAATCCCAGCGCTTTGGGAGGCCGAGGTGAGTGGATTGCCTGAGCCTGCGGGTTCGAGACCTGCCTGGGCAACTTGGCGAGACCTCATCTGTATAATAAATCAAAAAATTAGCCGGGCGTGGTAGCACGTGCCTACAGTTCCAGCTACTTGGAAGGCTGAGAAGGAAGGATCGCCAGAGCCCAGCAGGTCAAGGCTGCGGTGGCCGGGAGCGGCCACTGCACTCCAGTCTGGGTGACAGAGTGAGACTCCAACTCAAAAAACAAAAAAAAAAACTATCTAATAGCCAGGCTCGGTGGCTCAGCCTGCAATCCCGTGCCTTTGGGAGCCCGAGGTGAGTGGATTGCCTCAGCCTGCGGGTTCGCGACCCACCTGGGCAACTTGGCAAGACCTCATCTCTACAATAAATCAAAAATCAGCCGGGCATGGTAGCGCGCACCTGTAGCTCCAGCTACTCGGAAGGCTGAGGCGGAAGGATCGCCGGAGCCCAGCAGGTCGAGGCTATGGTGGCCAGGAGCGGCCACTGCACTCCAGTCTGGGTGACAGAATGAGACTCCAACTCAAAAAAAAAAAAAAAAAAAAAAAGCCTAACTAAATAAATAAGTAAATAAATGGAGGCTCGGTGCAGCGGCTCACACCTATAATCCCAGCACTTAGGGAGGCCGAGGTGAAGGGACTGCCTGAGTCCGGAGGTTCAAGACCAGCCTTGGCAACTTGGTGAGACCTGTATCTCTATAGTAAATGAAAAATTAGCCGGGCACGGTGGCACATGCCTATAGTTCCAGCTACTTGGAAGCAGAGGCAGAAGGATCGCCGGAGCCCAACAGGTGGAGGCTGCAGTAGCCTGGAGTGTGCCAGGCACTCCAGCCTGGGTGATGGAGGTGAGACTCCAGCTCAAAAAAGGAAGCCCCTGACCGCGCTGTCTCACCCTCCACAACAGCACCCTCGTTGGGCCTGGCATAGCCTTCTCCCCGAGTTCGTGTTCTGCGGATGATTCCACCATCTTCATCCTCCGTCAAGTCCTCGCCTTTGAACTCAAATAGCTCCACCTGTGGGATGAGACGTAAGCTGGCAAACTCCCTTCTCATACCAGCTCTTCAATGTGAAAGACAACCTGTCATGCTAGAGAGTCCCTAGTAACTGCCAGACCGGCACAGACCACCAGGGCAGTCACGTAACGCAATGGACAGAGTGGCACTTTGGCTAAGTTCTTGGGCGTGGCTCTGGTCTCAACTTTGACAGAAGCAGGCCACGTGGATTTCAGTTACCCTCAGGAGAACCATCTATTTTCTACCTGCTCTGCTGACAAGGACACACCAGAACATGTTCCAATTCACCCTACTTCAAGCTACTTGAGAAGCCCAGCCTGGTAGACGCTAGAGATGAGCCCACACCTCTCAGCAGTCTCCTGAGCATTCTTCCAGTGCCCACCGGTCGGCTCAAGCATTTTCATGCCGAACAGCATCAAGTTCCATCTCCTCAGTGCAGCCTTTCCTCAACCTTGACCCACGGGGCAGGCACCTCTCCCCGCTCTCCTCTCTAGAACATCAAAATTCTGTGCTGTGACTGGTAACTGTACATAATTTCTGACCACCTGGCTCCTTCCCATTAAAATAACCACCATCTCCTCCAGGCACTGCCCTTGAGATAAAGATGCTTCAACCCCTGACCCTGCTTCGAGCCTGGAGAGGGGTTTGTGGCCACAGCTTCCGACCGGAAGCTTCCATCACTGGCCACTTTCTGGCAGCAGCAGAGCCAGCGGCCCTCTCCAGCTCTCCCTCCTCCCATGAGGCTGGCCCTCAGCCCTGGCTACATTGTCTCCAAAGGCAGGAAGGGCTGGAGGGCAGCCAGGCTCTGGGCCCAGATAAGGCTTGGCTCGGAGCCTGGACCGCTGTGGCCGGACACTTACCTCAAACACAAGCGTGGCATTAGGGGGGATCTTTGGAGGGCTGCCTGCTGAACCGTAGGCATATTCTGGTTTACAGGTGATGTGGCATACCTCCCCCACCTTCATGGTCGCCACAGCGATGTCCCAAGCCTTGATGACCTCCCCTGGAGGTACAGATGCAAAGAGGACCCCCTTAGCAGAAGTCTGACTCTGGGCTCACCCAGGGTCCCCAGAGGTGGTGCCTGTACCACAGCCACAGGGAAGCTGCACACCCACCCCTTAGAAACAAGGCCAGGAGGTAAGACGCCTGGTGGCACTGAGTGCTGCCAGGTCTCAGAACTCTGGAAGATCGGCTGACCCTGTAAATGGGAGTCCAAGAACCAACACAGTCCACCTCCGAAGGGAGCAAGGTGATCAGAAAGGGAGACAGGGCAACATGGTTTAGAACAGTAGAGGAAAACGCATGGCAAAGAGCAACCGACTGTGATAAACCATGCCTCCCTCAACTTGGTCCTGAGAAGATGGTTTCTGCTTGTGCCTGCCTGTGTCAACCTCGAAGCCTATCCTACCAGCCCACTAACCACCCCTACCTTTTCCCAGGTCAAAGGAGAATTTGTCCTTGCGATCCAGACTGGAGTCAAACTTTGTGCCATCTAACAGCCAGCCAGTGTAGTGGACAAAGACTCGGTCCCCGATCATGGGCAGCTCGGTGCCTGTGCCCTCTCTCTTGATGACCTGGGAGGAAGGGGGAGAAATTGAGTACCCCCGGGGTGGGGGCAGAGAGGTGCCCCAAACTGCCTGCAAGTCCCAACGGGGAACATACAGGGACTCTGCTGCACCCACCCTCCCCTGCCTATTCGAAGGCAGATTCAAGACATCAATTCTCAGAGGACTCATTACTTAGCTTCCGAGCCAACTAACTTCCCTGTCTTTCTTGAGGTGCAGCCAAGACTTGGTTTGAAAAAGGAGACAGAAGACCTGAGAAATCTGAGTTCAAGTTTTTGATAAGTCTTTCGAAACTCTCGGGATCTTGTAAAGTATGCTGATAATCCCTATCACCTAGAGTTGTTGGAAGAGCAACTAGCCAGGGGTTGACTACAAGGCATTCTCATCAACAAGGGGAAACATTTAAGCGCCACTGCCTCATTCCTCCTGAATGCCACTGGCCATCAGCTCAGGGGCTCCTTTGGAGACAGGGGGTGTAATGACAGGTAAAAGACCAGGCCCTAGATGAGCCCAGAGCATTTCCCAGGACTTAGAGGCTTCTGCTTCTCTTCTTTATAAAAAGGACTCTGGGGCAACCCTCTCGGGTCCCGTCCTACTATGGGAGCTTTTCCGTCCTCTCAGTAAATCTTGCTTTAAAAAAAAAAGGGGGACTCCGCAGGCCGCCGGGTGTGTGGTTTCCTCCAAGGGGAAGCTTCTGTGAAGCAGGGACAAGGGCGTTGAGGAGTAGGAAAGCAGAAGGCCGCTGGGCACAGTGGCCCAAGCCTGCAATTCCAGCATTTTTGGAGGCCGAGGCAAGAGGACTGCCTGAGCCCAGGGGTTCAAGAGTAGCCTGGAAAACTTGGCGAGATCTCGTCTCTACAATAAATCAAAAAATTAGCCGGGTGTGGTGGCACATGCTTGAAGTTCCAGCTACTTGGAAGGCTGAGGCAGAAGGATCACCTGAGTCCAGCGGGTTGAGGCTGTCGTGGCCATGAGAGTGCCACTGCACCCCAGCCTGGGCAACAGAGTGGGACTCCGACTCAAAACATAAAAGAAAGAGAAAGGCAGAAGGCAGGCCAGGCACGGTGGCTGGCGCCTGTCATCCCAGCACTTTGAGAGACGAAGGCGAGAGGACTGCCTGAGCCCAGGGGTTCACGACCAGCCTGGGCAACATGGCGAGAACTCGCCTCTACAATAAGTCAAAAAATTAGCCGTGTGTGGTGGCGCACGCCTGTGGTTCCAGCTATTTGAAAGGCCGAGGCTGAAGGACTGCCCGAGCCCAGCAGGTCGAGGCTGCGGTGGCCGGGAGCGTGCCACTGCCCTCCAGCCTGGGCGACCGAGTGAGACTCCAATTCAAAAAGGAAAAAAAAGCAAAGTAGAAGGGAAAGGGTGGGGGGGTGAAAGAAGGAATGAATGACCTTCCAGGAATAATAACCTTGCACAAAAGAGCAGGATGCAGGAGAAAGGGAAGCCACATGCCCACAGAAGAGCCGCCGGGGCAAAGCCCGAGGTATCTCTGGACCAGGAAAGGCTCCCTGAGGCAGGTGACAGCGGCACGGGGCCGAGCAGCGGGAAGCAGGACGAGCGGGCGACGGACGGGAGAGGCATGAAGTGCGGGCCAGGGTTTCACCAGCTCCAGACTCTTCGCAGAGCCGCGCGGCCCAGGCCGGCTGTCCCGACCCGGGTCACAGCAGCCGCTGCCTCACTCCCCAGGCGGGAACTCAGCAGCAGCCTCACAGCAAAGCGCCTCCTCCCGCCCGCACCCCGCAGCCCCAACTCCGGGAGGCGGGGGGGGAGGGGAACTACAGGTCCCGG